CGTGTGGGTGGTGAGGGATATCGAGAGGAACCCCAAGGAGCGACCCGAGAAGGACATGATTGAGGCGGAACAAAGGTCAAAGGTCGAGGTCGAGATCAGGAGACAAGTGGACTATCTCATGAGGCAAGAGCTGCAGCGTCTTAAGGAGGTAACTTTGCCCAGTGTGTTTATGTGGGAAGCGTTATGGAATAGCGATGATAACAGGAGAGCAGAATGTGGGTCGTTTGTTTTGATGTCACTGCTGTTCTGCGACTCGACCGAACGTTTTGTTTCATTCCCTTGTGTTTTGATTTCGTTTAATTTGATTATTCCGCTTCGGTGATAGACTTCCATCCGCTAAATACGGTTGAATGGTATGAATAATGACACAGGAAGCCTACCGATCCCGAAGATTAAGCTGATCTCCCAACCCGCAGGACGTGGAGGGCGAGAAGCGAGGCGCCAAGAAGAAGAAGAGAGTGAAAAAGGGCGGAAAGAAGGGCAGGAAACGGAAGGAGAAGGACTTGACCCCCGACCGCACGACAGAGTCCTTGTTCGAGGAGCTGGTTCTTAATGGTGAGGACTTCTCGCGTTTTTTTTTTCATGCTAGGAAGTGGATAACACTTACATGTAGTTTTCTAGCATTGGGGAAGAGGCGGATGGGACGGCACTTCAGGGAATAATCCTAGATCCGTTTGTGTTGTTATTATTTATTGTTTATGACTGTTATTGTCTTATTATTTAGTGTTATTATAACTTGGTCTAGTTATGTGAAACCGTAGTGGCAATTATTTTTTTTTCTGTTTGCATTTCTCGTTGAAGGCAAGAAAGTCATTCAACATTTCTTCAGATCGCTCTTCATTCTCACTTTTCACGCCTCCGTTTCCGTGAATATAAAGCGTAAAATCTCACATTTCCATCTCGTTCGGTTCCATTTCCGTTCGTACTCGCAGGTATTATCAAGAAAGTTCCCGAGGTGCGTCTGAAGGACATCTACGGCAGCATCAACCTCGTCGGGTCGGAGGTGGTGAACAAGACGAAGTATCCTCTGCCAGCTCTCGGGGACATCAAGAACATCCTCGCCGAGTACGTGGTGCTCCCCCTGGGTAAGGAATAATCACCCTGTGTCCTAATAGTGTAATTTCTAATTGGTTGTATAATCTTTTTTTTCTCTCTCTTTATCTTTCTCTCTCTCTCTCTCTTTTTCTCTCTCACTCTCGCTGTCACTGTCACTCTCTCACTTTCACTTTCACTTTTATTCTCTCTCTCTTTCTATTTTTCCTTTTCTCTCTCTCTTTCTCTCTCTCTCTCTCTCTCTCTCTCTCTCTCTCTCTCTCTCTCCTAATATTGTAATTACTCATTGGTTATATACTATGATGTCTATGGTTAGATGATCTACACACATATATCGACTTTGTGTACGGATCAGTACGGATTTGAAACGTGAGTGAAACGTGTTTGCCGAACAGGTGTGCAGGCAGTGCATGAGCAGGTACAGCTCGTGAGAAGCGTCTCGTGTGTGGCCCAGAGGCTGCGGGAAAAACAAGTCTCGTACACCCTGCCTACGAGGCAGGGGCCACGCTCATGGACCTCACGGCCACCAACATCGTGGGGCGTTATCCTGGCAGGGCTGGTCTTAACATGCTCACGCACCTTGTCATGAAGGTGAGGCCACGTCAGGGGGTTACTAGGAGACGGTGGGATGAGTGAGATGTATACAGAGTAAAATAATGTATAGAAATATATGGTTATACATATAAAGGTTTGTGAATCTTTAAGAAAGTAATGGGGAAAATGGGCAGCTATATAGACAAATTGTTGGACAAATAGTTAAATTCAGTAGGTGGGCAGAAAAAAAGGTATAATACATACTCATATATATATATATATTATATATATATATATATATATATATATATATATATGTATTATATAATATATATATATGTATGTATGTATATATTGCAATACTGATGCTTAAAGCCATAACAAAATACAGGTGACAATAAATGAATGAATAAATAAATACATAAATAAATACATAAATGAATAAGCAGATAATAAATAAATAAATTGCATATAAGCGATTTAAACTTGTGAAAAGTGGGATCTTATGAGTGCCACGGTTAGCAAACGGAAGTACTAACGGCACTGTGCCTCTCAGGTGGGGCGGCTGCTGCAACCCACGCTCGTGCTCATAGACAACGCCGACAAGATGTTCCTGAAGAAAGTGAGTGAGATTTTGTTTTCATTTCCTTCTTTCTTTCTTCTTTTTTTTCTTTCTTGATGAGAAAGTGATCTTTTTTTTCTTTTTCTTCTTTTTTTCTTTCTTGATGTTGATGAAGAAAGTAAGAGATTGTTTTTTCTTTTTCTTCTACTTCTTTTTTCTTTCTTGATGATCCTGAAGAAAGTGAGACCTTTTTTTCTTCTTTTTCTTTCTTTCTTCCTTTAGTGTTCTTGTATGTTTGTGTTATTCCGGCACTGGGCAATTTCAGCCACTGTCGTAGCTTTATATATATAC